TCAAGATCAAAACTCACTGAGTCAATGGGCAGTTTTCCACCACAATATTTATTGCCGTGTAATCACCAATTTGGTCCATTAAACATCTTGAGGCTGTAGCCTATAGCACGTCCATTCTGGATCTGCAAAGCTTATGCTGTAGACATGCATCATCACATGAGCACGTTTCTTATCAATCTTAAACGTAAAACGCTAGTTATGCAACGATATTCCCATATCACATTTTTAGCAAATTGAATGGTCCCACCTGTCACACTGTCAGCTTTGAAGTAAATCGATTCACAATACCACCAGTGGCATACATCGAGCCAAGCATTAGTGCCGCATGTGGCACAGAAATGTCCTAACTAGGGAAGCAAACTTAATCGATCCTGTTGATTAAAGCACTTAAGTACGGGAGAAATTATCAATCAAAGAAGGTCACTCGAAAGGGAAGTTTTCTCGCTGAACAAATATGATTTTTTATTGGGCGTTCCGCATTATAAGGCTGAAGACATTCACTCCGTGATCGGTACAGAAGCATTTGCTTAGCAGTCGGTCGTGCGTGCGAAAAACAACAAAAACAAAGGTGGATTAGAAGCGCGATAGATTCGGCTTTGCACGAAGTACTTACACTCAAAATCGTGTCACCATAAAGCGACTATGGCCCACCTTGCTAGCAGCAATCTTAAAATTTATCTGTGTAGTCGTCGCACCTGTGCACCAACCGAAAGCGTTGCTGCGAGCCCCTCCGCCGTCAACTTTGAGTCGCCGTTGAGTCTGAAGAACTGCTCTATGAGGTCCATATCCAGCCACTGAACACATACACAATCACAGGAAATAATGCTCGGTTCCAAGTACAAGCGAAGAACCCGGGGCGGAAAGCCCTGAATGCCAAACGACCTGCGTCGGGCGACGGCGACTGACTGCGTAGTACACAGGTTGCGCTCCTTCGACGCCTGCATCGCTGCGGCGGGTGGTCGTAGCTGGTGGTAGCAGATCGTGCCAGCTCTGTTGCTCGTACCGGAACACTAGAGCCGCGTAATATTCCTGCTGCCGAAGTTTATAAGCCCACGTTCGCGGCCAACGTATTTACACCAAGCCGACGCCCGACGCCCAGCGAACCTATTTCCCTCGTTCTCCTTCGGCGACCGGCCGCCAGGGCGGTGACACCGTCGCTGGAACTCCTCAATAGTCAACGCCAAGGCCACCGCGGCCAAAAGTCACTTCCGTTCAACCTCCATCTTGGCTCCTTACAAATAGCCTCAAAGCAGCTCGTTGCATGCGTTTGGCGGAGCTGTGAGGTCGAGGGTTAGACCGGCCCGTTCACTCTGTCGTCTGTTCTTTTGGTCCGCCGTGTGGATGCTCATTGCAGCCGGGCGGCCCGCGGGCCGCGCATCACGTGATCAATCGGTCCGCGGCCCGGTCCGTCGTGTGGATACACCTTTACAAGCAGCATCGAGCTTGTTGTTTGCAAGGTAATGATGTCAAGAGAGGAAACGAGGGCGCCACCAAAACATCTCGCCGCTAATAGGTGGTATTCACTAGATGCTATATTTGAAGGCGCTGTTTAGAGCGCATGCTCAGAACGAGCTCACATAAATAGGCTGCTAAGACCGGCAATCTTGATGGTGTCGAAAGCACGTCGCAAACGAACAGTGGAAGCTTGATATCAGCACGCGCTAACCAGTCGCGCACGCAGCTATTGCTGCCAGTGAATACCTCCTATTAGCGGCGAGATTAAAGCCCCTTGATAAAGGCGTTTTTTTACAAGTGCCGCCAACCATTGTTGCGGAAACGCGCGAGACACGTGCCACGAGCGGGTGCTCCGCGGCCATTCGCTTCCAGGGCCGCTCATTTCAGTGATGCGCCGCCATTCGCTTCCAAGGGCCGCTCGAGACGTGGGTCTCGTGCACTCGCGCATTTGGCGCTACTTGCACAACAAGCGCAAACATATCGAGGGGCTTTAGGCGAGATGCTTCGGTGGCGCCCTCGTTCGGTTACCTTTCGTGACGTCATTAGCTTGTGAACAACAAGTTCGATGGCGTTTGTAATGGGTATGTTGGAAGCCTGAAATCATAGCGCTCTCAAAGCAACAATGCCAACACCGTCGAAATTGACGTTCTTACATTCCTCTTATTTCCGTCGGTGAGACATCCTTTGCTGACGTCATAGTCAGCATTCGGCCAATAGACCATTTGCAATATTATCCAAGCTAATCCAAGCATCAAGGAGAATGCAGGGATTGGTGTTCCACGCGCCAGACGCGCACGCCTTCCCCGTATGAAAGATTCGAAGTAAATAACCAAAATAAAGCGTTGACGAACGCGCGTGCAAGATACAATTTGTATTAGGTTTTTGCTTCAGAAAAGTTACTATACTGCTGTGGCCAGCACGTGCGGCGCGTGGAACACCAATCCCTGCATTCTCGTTGATGCTTGGGAAACATAGCAATAGGTCTAGTGCGGTGGGCCGACCACAGCAACGCTTTCGATCGCTCACTTCGCCAATACTGTGTTCACCCTTAAGGTGAGACTGCAGCTAAAACTACAAGCTCGAGCGAGCCCGCGCTCCTGGCTTTGAGACATGCATTTTTAGTGAGAGTGCTCGTTGTGCGGAAGTACGCTTCAAAGCAGCGGCCTGCAGCTCTCGTGCTTGTGGCATTGGCAGCATCTCGGGTAGTACCTCCCAGCCGCGTGCATTTTGAACCGACGCCTAAAAGGTACCACTTTAGGCATGGTACCAGCTTAAAGGATACCATTTTAGGCGTGGTATCACCTTGAAAGATACCACTTAGCCTCAGAACGAGCTGAGCGGACGAATAGGTACAGAAATCTGAATATGCAAAAATCTGAAAAAGAATGCACGTCAGGTAAATAATGCATTAGAAGCTCCACCTACGCCTCGGGCACTCTACCTTCTAAGGTACTTCGGTGCCTCGTGAGCACGCGGAAGCAAAGCACGATGGAAGGCAACCAGCACGTGCTGGAAGTGGAACTTTTACTGCATTCTTTACCTGGCACGAATCCTAGCAACCCAAATATCAGTAAACAAATAATTATTTCTTTTCCCGCAGAGGCATTGCAATTCTGACTTTGATCATCACTCATCACAGTTGTTTCTAATCAATCAGGGGTCTCTTCGACCAGCACTAAGGTACTTTGTGTTCGAAATTAAAATTGACATTTTCACGAGTGAACCTTTTTAAACGCTTTAACAAACGTGTTGCATTTTTCTACCACATCCTTTTTTTTTTTGCCGCAGCTTGCAGTGTCGTAGGTTTTGTGCGCGGGTAATTCGACCCCATAGCTACGGCTGCGTAAAGAGAGCAGAAAACCCTTAGCTTTATCCTGGATGCATGACATGGAAAACGCGATAAATTTGTCTCTCGCCGTTTTGTTCGTCCCAATCAAGCAACTCATTATAAAACGCTACAAAATATTGTTTTGTGTTTTGGCAGGTTGTAGTTTATGTACTGGGCAGAGTACTACAACCACGTATCACAGTCTTTAGGACCAAAATTGACTTTTTTTTCTGGCAATCTCAGGCCGTAAAAAGCCCGAAGAAGTCCGGTTAGAGCCAAACTTGACCTTCTTTGGCCAGATTCTGTGTCCGCCTAACTCACCAAACAAGTACCAAAGTGAGGTTTTAGTGCCGGTAGTTCGATTGTTATCTGGCCATTGTGGGCATAACTCGCCAAACACGTGGTAAATATAGGCTTCACGCCTGGTTGTTTGGATTTTATGTGGCAGCTTTTGGCTTAAATTGCGAAACAAGTGCCAAATTTAGGCTTCTCGGCTTGGATCTTTGTTTCGTACGTGGCATCGTTCGATCAAGTCTGGCAGTTTCACAACCATGTGGTGAGCCAGAGAAAAGTCATAGAAAGGCCAAATAGACATTATCAGGCACTAACTAACGCCTTGGAGCAAAATCGCATTAGGTCCAGGTTAGACACCTATAGGATTGACAAGCTTGTGCGTTTCTCCGCACCCTCAGAAATAGGGGGTGTAGTACTTACACCCCTTGTCCCATATATAACACCCCAAAACTTCAATTCGACTTGCAGTTCATTGACGTCGAATTGTAGTTTTTGGGGTGTTATATTTAGGACAGGGGGTGTAATACCTTCTATTTCTGAGAGTCTGGCGTGCTGCCTGGGTACGCGGGTTGAACATGCATCGAAAGAAAGAAAGGAGAAACATTTTCCGAAGTTTTTTTTCTCCAAACCTTTCAGCTACGTTAAGCCAAAGTCTTCTTCTCTCTTTTTTTTTTTTAGGCCTCTTTCCTTTATCCTCAAGCGCGTCTATGTGAACCGTGCTATCAGGGTTGTATCGGACAGGCGCAATCGCATTATATGTAGGTGTGTGGAGAATGGCACTTGGAGTAAACCATAGTTCCTTTTAATGATGGGCCTCTCCCCACAAATGAGAGAACCGCTGATTTGTTGCGATTGCGCCATCAATTCGTCATGTTGCGCGAATTAGTTAATTTGCGCACCGAGCATGTAATTTTGTTAAAAACGTGCGCTGTAAACCTTTTCTTTTTTTGCGTAGAACGCACCATGTAACTGCGTTTGGGGTTGCGCGTCGAAAGGTTCCTAAATTGTCAAAATTAATCCTTAGCACTCCGCTGGGCCTTGCCAGATGCCATTTGTTTGTTTTGGCACGTAAACCCTCCACATTTCACTTTGTTGAAGACGTTACGCCTTTGATAAATGCAGTTTTACCATGACATGTTTTCTTGTATATACACACACGCAAAAAAAAAAAAAACAGTAATGTATTCGGGATTGAAAACACAGTGCTGTTGATACACGGGAAAATATCAGAAGCTGATTACTTGGTTTAAAGGTAATTCATAATTCAGAGGGAACCATTGTACTGAATATAAGTTTGGTTCTGGCGTTATCGTGTCCAGCAATTGTTTCCGTCTGAGGCTCGAAATTCAGTTCATGTGTTTATAAAATAGTCTGCTGTTGTTTTTTGTTTCTTTCGCTCACAGGCACGGAGGGATCGGGTACCGCTCCCGGCCTGTACCTACGGGATGATCCTGTGCTGGGAACCAAGCTGATGAACTACAGCGAACTGCGGGCTCCGACTGCTGAGAAGGCAGCCTTCCTATTGGACGCCGCCATCGCTGCCGCCGCCGCGGCCAATCAGCGTGCGTCATGCAGTAGCCCTTTTGGTCTTCTATATATATAACCAGATCTGTGTCAGCCTTCCCAAATAAAAAATGTCGCATACTTATCGTGTAGCGCTCATATGAAGTGACTCGCATCCGGTTTGCTAAAATCCGCACAGTACGATGGTATATTGTGGATATCTGATTTTTTTTTTTTACGAGCACCGTGCAGAAAGCACTTTGGTTTCAGACATACGAACTGTAAATTTGTGGAGACCTTGCCACAAAGCGTAGCGCATTTTCTCACGGTAACACCGAATTGCCGCCAAAATCTGTAATCCACCCCCACTAAAAAAATTTTTTTTAAGAGTTTGTTTAGTGTTTGCCTTGTGTATCAAGAGGTTACTGTATCATATTGATTTGATTGTGACCGTTACTGTAATTCTGCATCATAGCCTTAGTTGCTTTTGCGCCACAAAACCCCAATCTACTATCTACTACTACTAAATATTAGCCCCCCCCCCCCCCACCCCCCGCTTTCCCCTTTCCTTTTTCACGTCATATTTTGACGGACGCGCTGGAATGCGACATACTTTTAAAGCCTCTCAAAACACTGAAAACAAAACCTGCCTTTTGAACACTCTAACGTGCTCCTTTTGTCTCATGTTCTCGGATATTTTCGAGTTGACAATCATACATTACCACATATCAGGAGAGTATGCCCATTTACGCTGTACACTTTTGTTCTTTAAGCATACACGGCTGGCATCTTATCATCCCGACTAGAGCTCGGGGTTCCGACGACCCCGCGTGCTATCTTCTTATCTTCCTCAATTTCTCTTTGAACCTAGAAAAACTACGCCTTTTTGTTGTTGTTCTAATTATGTGTTATGTGCCAATGTGCAGGATCCGAGGAGGACGGCCGCAACACGCACTTCCTGTTCACACTCCACGTTTACCAATATCGGGTGGACAAGAGTGGTCGGGGAGGAGGTGGGTCTCGATATAATTTTTTTTTCTTTTTTCTTTTTTTTACAATTGAAGCTGCCGATATCGTTCGACAGATGGTGCATGCAGATGCCAAGTCAATGGTCCAACTGCTTCAGCGAAATGTTGCTGTGACCGCTCGTATTTCATTGTATGTGGACTATTTGAGGTGCACCGATATTTGATTCATATATAATATGGACTGATAAAAGAAAAATGCCTTCTTTAAAACATTAAAAAGGGTTATGCATAAACAAGACCAATTTATTCCTTTTCGCGAGTCTGTTTTCTACAGTAAAATGATGAACATTATTTTTGAGCTGAGAGACTCAATACGATGGCGAAATGCGGTATAAATATCCAGCCGCTTTTTTGCAAACACTGTTACGAGATTAATTGTTTTTTGTAATTATTTATGTAATTCTGATACCTTCGATGTACTATACAACCAAATTCGGAAGAGCAAGTTAGTCTTTAGAAGTGGGTGGGCTTTTGGTATAACAGAATGAAATAAAAATTTACGAATATTGGCTGGCGCTCTTGATAACTATCATGCTGGGTACCTGTAAAATGCTTAGCGAAGTAAAATCAACGAGACATTCCCGAAACAAAAGCTTCTGCATAAAAATGTTCTCACTCCTAATCCTGTCTGCTCCTTCTTTTGTTTTTTGTTTTGTTTTAGTGGCCGGCGGACGGAGTCGGCTGCATCTCTTCGACCTTGGAAGCTGCGAGAAAGGCAGCAAGGCAGGGCCTGGTGCTGGTCCCCTCAGCTTGTCCGCCCTGGGAAACGTCATCCTGGCACTCTTTAACGCGCAGAAAAGACTACCGTTTCGGTAAGCTGAAAAAACGAGAAACGCATTACCTCTCGGTGGCTAATATAGAGAGTTTTAGAATATCGTTCCGCTACCTCCGATAACAATACCCGATAATGATAATATGCATGTGCAAAAAAAAGAAAAAAAAAGGAGTGTCGGCGAAGTAGTGAGTTTGGCAATGGGATGTATCGGAACCATCTACTAAAACTTTGTTGTACGAACCATTCCAATAACCATCCTCTGTACTCCGCCATCTTTTTCTACTGGGCTGTGAGACACTTTCTGAACATGCGTAATCGCTATTTTCTGCGAAATATCAAGTGCCGCACCGCATGCCCCGTGGCTCGACATTTTGCGGCTGGATGGTCAGCGTCGATGAGGTTCCCACTAAGAAGCTGAATGAAAAGTCAAGACATTTTTCTTATCCTTTCTACGTTCTCTTTCATCTGTTCACCCCAGTCTCCGGAGGTCTCCAAATAAATACTGCAAAAGCATTTGTCTGTTCTCGCAAATGTATCCTGCTTCTACCAGGTCAGGTGTCTGATATCACGAAGGCAGCTTCTTGACGATCCGAACAATTTGGAGCCTGTTGTGTTCGTATTGCTCTTGCTTTTGTTGCCACGTATTTATAACATTTTTCTTCTTGTCCCTTGCCCACAAATTTGTTGTTTTTCGCCAAATATTCGTGCTTAATGGCTTCATCCCCCTCCGTAGAAAGAAACAAGAAACACCATTGGCAAACGCGCTAAATCTGCTTTGTTAATAATAGTTTTCCGCGCTGGAATGATCCGGACATCACGCTAGTTAAGTACTGTTCGATAGAGTGCCTCAGCATTTCTCACTCTCTCGCCACCTTTTGGCCAATGCACGAATCTGAAAAGTTAGGGTAGGCAAACACGCCGGGCAAAACACAAATAGGTGGCTAGTATTAGTGCACGATTGAGAGCATTTCTGGAATTACGTGAACGAATCGTCAATTTAACAAATCAAGCTAATCCAAACTTGTGCCAGCGACTCGTGGGCGCAGCCATTTTAATTGCGAAGGCCTTACGGCCGTATGAGTCATTCGTAATTCCTAAATTAGACGTTTTGATTCTTTTTACATAACATTATAGTAGACACAGCAGAGAAATTTTTGTTTAATGCAAGCAGAATGACGGAAAGCACTCCTTGCGTTTTCCGTTGCGCTCATTACAGTTAGCAACACTGGTCCTCTGCCACAAAATGGCCGAAGCGGAGTTGCCCTGAAGCGTAGCTTAAATATCTATTTTATGCATGGTAGAGAACATAATCAAGCATTACATGAGCGCTGTTGACAACGGATGACCAGATACCCCGATCTTTAAACCAATGACGTCACCAAACTACGGAATCCGTCTTCGCGCCCTCATTATATATGGCGGAGTCGGGTCCGGCATTAAGCCGGCTCTAGGACTACTCAGGCCCTGCAAAGCCGGCGGACCGGAAGCCATTGCTGCGCCCCAGTTCTCCGGAAGAGTTCTCGCGCTCGGCTCGTTTCGCCCTGGTCACGGTAATTAAATAATTAATCGCGAGCTGTTTAAAAACGGGCCCTCTCTGGAGACGCGTCCGCCTCGGCTGGCAACCTATGTCGGGAAGTGTGGTGGGGACGCAATTAACGCCAGGGGGCGCCGTCGGACGGCCAACGTCGCTCCGTTGGACGGAGCTGGGATTAATGAGCGCAGGCTCCGAGCGAATATTGCGACCGCGACTCGGGAGAAAAATCACCTGGGCTCTTTCTTAGGTTTGATGGTCAATTATTTCTATCCTCTTTTAATCCAGTCCTTTTTTTTTTCTTGTGGCGTTCGTCAAAATGTCCATCACAGGGCGGCTCTTTTGTCGTTTGTAGTTGGTTTTGGTCATTCTCTCAGGAGCCTAAATTTTGTGTTATCAGTTTTGAGAGCGAAGATTACGTGTGTCTTTTGATTGGGAAAGTAGAGTCACAGGGTAATCGATTTCTATATCAAGTTATTATCATATGTTTGTATTTTGTATGATTTTGAATCATCATCAATCTTGCAACAACCCGAATTCAGTTGAAGCGTACTTATCGATGGATAAACTGAAAGTCTAGACTCGCAAAACATGCGACAAAAACCACAATGCTTAAACGACTATCGAAAACTTGCAGAATTATCTTTAAATTTCACGAAGATCAATTGAAGGATTTTGTTATAACACAATTTGGTGTTATGTTCGAGTATTTGCAGAGTTTTTGCGAGTGTTCCGTACGTGGAGTAAACAGTATACCTATCGGGCGTTCTTCATTTTTACATTAGGTTCAGCTTTAATAACACCCGCATTTCAGGCTGAGTAGATGTTTCACTTCATTTGGGTCAACGTCAAAACATTCGAATAATTGTTGTTTGCTCAGAGAGTTATAATATTGCAAAACGCATATCTGAGCTTCATGGAGTGTGATGGGAAAATGCAAAAAAGAACGGCACAACATTCATGCTAGATACAATCTAAGATCTTTTCTTCATTTGGTCAAATCTTTCCATCTTTCTTCATGCGAATTTTAGTCAACCTTATTGTTACGATTAAAACAAAAAATAGTTAAACTGAAAATAAAGTAAAACGAAAACTTTTACTTAATTAGGTCACCCCGACTGCATGCTTACTAGATAAACCCTTCCTAGCATAAATTTTCTCCTTATAAATTAGGTAAAGTAGTTTGGGTCCTTCGGTAAAGCCATTGGTTCTCCTCTCAAAGCGCGAAAACTCTGAACGAATTCCTACCCAACTCACCAAAGAGTTCTGGACGCCATAAACCCTAGCAACAACTCCACCTCGTAGGAGAGTAAACTTGGGGAACGCTGTTCATAATGCAATTATAGTATAACCGGGGACGCACCACGCTCAAACTGCTGGATGGCGCAGTTGTGCGGTTTAAGAAGTCGCCCCTCCGCCCCTTTTTATGCAGAAAAGGTCCAGGAGCTTGCTTGTTAATGCAGTTAGGGCACGACCCTTTCAGGCATCCCTGAGCTCCCGGCGCCCTCTAAGGTCCGTTATTGCGAGTGCTTGGAAGATCGGAGGGTTGTTGGGTCAGGGAGAGCAGTGTTTTATGCCGAATTCGAAGTTGGAACAATCTTGACCAGAGGTCTTTGGGAGATGCCCGTTTGTTCCGCTCGTCAGCCTTAGGAGCCAACTCACCTTAGGATCCAACTCCGTTGGCTCCTAAGGTGATAATGCGGTGGGAGCTACGCACTCCCAGGACGAATCGACCGCCTCCTTCTCGTCATCTGACCCAGCTCTCTCAGAGTGGGTATGGGCGGGGGGGAGCTTGATCACGGGGCGAAAGGTGGACGTAGGATTGGCCCGAACTGCACGTAGCTTCCTCCGCGTTGTCAGCTTAGGGGGAACAGAGCGTAGTTGCAGTTTGGAGCTCAAGGAGGAGAGAAGGCCAAGCTTTGGGAGGATGCTAGGTGGCACGCGAGGAGCATGCCGCTCAGATAAGAAGGCCGGCGGAAGACGTCATCGTTGGTGGATCCTCGACCCGGTCGTGCATTACGTACCTAGTTGAAAGCATTGATTGTGAGCGTTTATTTGCTGGCTCATACGCCCAAAACCTTTAACCAGCGTGACCGTCTTTTTCATGTAGTTCGTTTTAGACATTAAATTCGGTTTTGAAAAAAACAGAATCGGAGAGGCATAATGATTTGTTCGACCTAAATTACTAGCTTTGGATTAAACCCACAAAACCCATAGTATGGAGATTTCGCCAGAAATTTTAACTTAGCAAGCGTAAACATCGTAGAGCGTGTTGTAACGAAGGGTTTTACGTGTGCAGAAGTGCCATCTAGTCTAATGACGTTGCCTGCGTCCGGTCTTTATAGACTACCAACCAGTCAGCGATATAGAGCGAACAAACTGCGAAATAGGATAGGGGATACAAGTTGACTAGAATAAACAGCATGTGGAACTGAGGACACGTAGTTTAGTGGCTATAGCCTCTCACATCTTATATTTAGAACTATAATCGAAATAGGTAATATAAGGAAAGAAGAGATGCCACCACATCTCTTTCTTGTAGTCTTCTAATAATATTTGGTTTCTTTCACTTCGTAGAGGTTTTCGGGAATCGAGATTGGAACATTCCGCTACATGAGCAGCAGGTTATTATGAAACTTTATTTTTTCTCTCATCCATAGTCCGAGGTTACCCGAACAGTGCGTTTTATTCTAAATTAAAAGTTCGATATTCCGCTTTGGTGTCCGACTCCAAGTCGCGACCTTTCTGTGAGTTGGCAAATGCCTAAAGCAGCATCTTCAGCACACAGACTCGCACAACTTCCCTACGTCGTCGATTCTCGCTGCCTCCCTTTCCCCGTGTCTTTTTCCCTCCCCCGGCCACGTCCATCAGAGAGCACCGGCTGCTGCCCCCGCCTGTCCGACGTGACAGAATGAAGCCCATCTTATTCTCGTTGGGGACGTTTCGGCTCGACGCAGCTCTCCCAAACCCTCCTCCTTTCGAAGTACGATGTCCACTACCCCTTATCCTTCGTTTAGGCACAAGCTGGACCATAGCGAAGGCTACAGCCCGGATGATCTAATCCCTCAGCTAGGGCACCTTCCGCGTGACTGCGATATTCAACTCGTTGGACCAATCAGACAACAATGATGACACACGTCATCGCCACAGCGAGACGGCAGAGCTAATCCCGTCGCGTCAAAAAGCCGTGGCAGCTTTACGAAGAATACGTGATACGATTAGGAATCTCGCGAACTTGTGTCGAACATGAAGTCGACCTGACTTGGCGAACGTTCGACCATTTAGCAAAGTTCGACGAACTTCGACTTATGGACATTGTAGATCGTACTTCTACACAAGAATTTATAAAGTAGCTTAATTTGTATTAAAAATATTACCAATGTTTTCGCATTCTAAAAACGAAAATACCTAATTTTATCGCTTTATCACTCTAATAGGGCGAAACATTAAAACGGTGTACCGACCAAATATCCGACTTCTCCTCCACGTGACGTCACCTCGTTTTC